TCGCATTTTTTCGAAAACTTACTCTTACTCCTACTTTCACATTCTTTTTAATATTCTCATTCTTTCGAAAATGTTTTTCCACTCCTTTCACTGTTCTCAATTTTTTCACTTTTTTCCATACATTTTCCCATACATTTCTTTCTATTTTTTGTATATTTTTGTAAAAAATGAGTTGAAATCAAAAAGACATGAGAAAAAACATACCGCAAAATAATAGTAATAAATGTTAAATATTAAATTAAAATATTATTTATTATTATTTCAAAGTGAGACGTTATTTTTATTTTTTTTATTTTATATAACTCTAGCATTGAGTAGAGGTGCGATCCGGATCGATCCGCGTGATCCGTAATTCGTATTACCATCAAATTTTCAATCTGTCATCCATTATATAGTCAATCTGATCAATCCGTGGATTATCCGCGAATTGGATGAATTGATCTGCAGATTATGCAAATCATCCGTCCAATCCGTGAATCATCCGCCCAATCCGTGGATCATCCGTTCAATCTGCGGATCATCCATCAATCCGCGGATTATCCGTTCAATCTGTGAATTATTTTTTTCCCATAGAAAATAAATTATAATTATTTACATCAAATAGAGAGATTTTGATAACCTGTGATCCAATTTTAGCGATTTATGGCTCATTTGATTCTCCTTATCGAGGCAAACATTTTAGTAGTTGTTTCATCTAGATTGGACATCTCTACGCCATGTTATTAAATAAAACATGCTTAATCAGTAATAAAATTCTTTTATAATTATCTACATCAAATATCGATTTCAATAACCTGTGATCCAATTTTAGCGATTTATAGCTCATTAGATTCCCCTCACCGAGACGAACATTTTGGTAGTTGTTTTATCCAGATTAGACCTCTCTATGTCATGTTATTAAATAAAATATGCATAATTAATAATAAAATTCTTTTATAATTATCCACATAAAATATTAATTTCAATAACCTGTTATCCAATTTTTGTGATTTATAGCTCATTTGATTTCTCTCGTTGAGACGAACATTTTGGTAGTTATTTCATCCAGATCGGACATCTCTAGGCAAGTTATTAAATAAATACATGCTTAAATTCATTATAATTATTCACATCAAATAGTGATTTCAATAACCTGTGAT